AAAAAGATCTGGATCTGGAGTCTTCTCTATTAGTATAGCTGATTAACCATGTGGATGGATGATAACAGCCTTCTGCGCCTACTAGTAGGCACAGAAGGCCCCTACTGGCCCATATCTATCAGCTGATAACCACTAATAACGCCCATTCAATCGAATGATAACATTCAAAGTCCCTATATCATGCACTCAAAAAATTATTTTTACTGTTTGTTCAAACTGCTTAAAATAAACAACAACACTATTTTTTGAGGAGTTTTTTGGAGTATAACTTCATTGTTTTATGATCAATCCACCTACATTTGTAAAAACTGACGAGTTGACTTAATTCCTTCATGTTGTCACAACACAAATCGTTTGCGTGGAACCCAACAAGTGTGTATCTGGGGTTGTGTGTCTTGAAACGTGTCCACAGGTCTGCAGCTGGATATTATTGCACTACTGCTAGGTTCAAATGCAAACACACGAATGCCATGAAAGATGCTGTGTTGACTGCTCATGTAGGGTTGAAGCTCCATGCTCCACGTTTCACTGTCGGAACAGGGATTGAAGCAGTTGCGTAGCGGCGTGTACAGTGAAACAATGGCTGTAAATGCAGTGCTGTTATGTAACGTGCTTTCAAATAGGCACCTGAGTCAGAGTCCAAGCATGTTGCAAATAAAGACTGGCCCACACTAGTCCTGGGGAGTGGGAATGTCATACTATAAATCGTTTGCATGCTGGGTTTTAGGACAAGCGGCTCTCCAGGACTACGCAAAGGGCAAATAGTGCTGATAGTTCTCTAGGTAGTTATGTCTTAGGGGTACATTGGGGCTGCATTCAAAACATGAGGCTGTTTTGCCAAGCAGAGGCACATGCATTCTGTTCTCACTCCGTTTAGACTTGCAGAATGCTGAGAGATAAACTGGTTTGTTCCAAGAGTTTGTCATTTGGCTGGGCATCGCTAACTTTGCCAAAACATGATAGTGATGCATTGTAAATGGATCAGAAATTATTACGAGAGACCCGATGTGAGGACGAGCAGGGCTGAATCTGAATATACTTACTTTGGTCTCAAGTATTATTGTATTATCAAGTCAATCAGACTACTGACCTTCACAAAAACTGTGTGGTATTTGTAATAATAATAATAATAATAATAATGATTATTATTATTATTATGATTATTATTATTATTATTATTATTATTATTATTATTATTATTATTTCCTAAATATTATAAAGGACAATAAAACTTGCTGTAATTTTAAGATCACTTTGGAGTGTTTTCAGATTGTGTTAATCATTTATTTTCATGAATTAAATTAACAGAATTTATGTGAATGGACACCAAATAAATAAATAAACAAATAAATAAGTTTATTCATTATTGCATAAATGTTAAAATACATTTAAACATAATTATACATTTAATATGTATATATAAAATGTATGCATGTTTAAATAAATAGATAAATAAATAAATGTATAAATTATTGCAAAAATGTTAAAATACATTTAAAAACAATTACAAAATAAATATGTGTAAATAAAATATGTGCATGTTTAAATGAATAGATTAATTAGTAAATGTATTAACATAAATGTTTAATTAACATAAACACATTTCAAAATAATTATTAAAGAAATATGTATAAAAATGTTTGTATGTTTAAATAAATAAATACATAAATGTATTAATTATTACATAAATGTTGAATTACATTTCAAAATATTTATAAAAAGAAACATGTTTAAATAAAAATTGTTTGCATGTTTAAATAAATAAATAAATAAATAAATAAATAAATAAATGTATTAAAAATTGCATAAATATTGAAATACATTTCAAAATAATTATAAATTAAATATGGATAAATAAAAAGGCATGCATGTTTAAATAAATAAATAAATAAATGTATAAAGCATTGCATAATTGTTAAAATACACTTCAAAATATTTATAAATTTAATATGTATAAAGAAAAAATGCATATATGTTTAAATATGAATTAATTAATTACCCTAACTGTTAAAATAAATAAAAAGTATGAATTAAATATGTGCAAATAAAAAGTATGCATGTTTTAACAAATAAATACATGTATTAATTATTGCATAACTGTTAAAATACATTTAAAATAATTATAAATTAAATATGTATAAATAAAATGCATGCATGTTTAAATTAATTATCTAAATAAATAAATAAATAAATAAATAAATAAATAAATAAATAAATAAATAAGCAAGTATAGATGCAATATCTTCAGAATAGAAGTTCTAGGTGTATGAATCTACACTCAACAGTTTTCCAGATAAAGCATTAAACCAACTAGAGCAACACAAAGAGTTGGACAGACAACGTTCGACACATCTAGAAGCAGAAACTAGAAAGCCAAAGTGATGCGCTGCATGTTGGCTTCAGATTGAAAATCCTCTGACCAATTTTAGACACCCCTCAAAAAATTAAAACAACCATTTAGATGAAAGCAACCAAAATAGCAACAATAACTCAATCACACAACAAGTGGAAGCAGAGGTTCTCACGGATTAGTAAGCACCGCATGAGGAGCGAACATTCGAGAGAAGAATGACACAAAAAAAAAAACAGTTCTCCAGGGACTCCAGCGAGACATACCCTGAGTCTCTGATGCAATGCTGCCATCTGAGCAGAAGCAGCACCGGCAGACATCTTGCTATGCTATATTCAGCCACGGAGCATGAATGAGACACTCATTAGGGAGAGCGACTTGGCTCTGCCTGGGTCTTTTATTGACACTCATTTCACAAAAGGAAGTGGAGGTGCTAAAATGCCGGTAGCTTGTTTGGGTATTTCTGCCAATGCAAGGTTAAATTATCAAAACAAAAAAAAAAAAAAAAGCAGAAGAAGTGAAATGGAGCACCAAATATAAAAACCTGTACAGTGCGGGGTTGGACTGCCGTCATTTAAGGAGGAAATTGCACCTACTGTATGTGTCTGCAAAATATGTCATCAAGCTAAAACACAGCTTAGACTTTTTTTTTTTTTTTCAAATAAGAAACCGCTTGATTGATTGATTGATTTTTTTTAAATGCAGACTTTTGAAGTTTGCATTGATTCTGTTACCTTCCTGCATATACTGGTAAGCTGCTTTGAAGCAATCTGTTTTGTATTGAGCCCTATACGTCAATTTAACTTGACTAGAATGTCATGTAGCAATATTTAAACCAGTATGTAATGCAGGGTTAATGATGAGCCACATCCATGCACTGAACTTTAAATGAAACCAAGAAATGATTAAAAAATAAATAATTAAATATTCTACACTTTACAAAAAAATTCTGTATTTTTACAGTTTATTTCCTGAAGCTAGGGTGCCGAAAGAAAAACGCAAAATAACAGAAATTTACTCTAAAATAACAGAGGTTGAATTACAGAAATTTACAAGAAATTTATATCTAAGTAAATTTCTGTAAATTAATGTCCGATATTTTACAGTAAATTTGTGAAATTTAACGGCCGTTATTTTACGTTTTTTTTCCAGCACCCTAGCTGCTGGAAATAAACTGTAAAATTACAGATTTTTTTTTTATATATATATTGGCCCATTTTTTTATTTTATTTTTATTTCCAACAACAAAAACATAATAATAATAATAATAATAATAATAATAATAATAATAATAATAATCATCATCATCATCATCATCATCATCATAATCATAATAAAATTATTAATAATAATAATAATAACAATAATAATAATAATAATAAAAAGTATTATTATTATTATTATAAATACTGTTATAATTATTATTGTTATTAGTATTACTATTAATTATGTATAATACAATTACTAAAATAATAATAATAACAATAATAATAATAATAATATTTTTTATTTTAAATGACTTTTAATCAAAGGTAATAATATTACTGTAATAATAATAATAATAATAATAATAATAATAATAATAATAATAATAATATTATCTAGTTTGCATTGAAGTTTGCATTGATTCTGTTACCTTCCTGCAAAATACTGCGAAGCTGCTTTGGAGCAATCTGTTTTGTATTAAATTACATATATACATACATTTAAGTTGACAAGACTAGGAATTAAGGACAGATTAGGAATTAAGAAAGCAATATCCAAAGGTGAATGCAACAATCATGTTTTTTTTTTTTTTTTCTTTTTTTTTGCATAATTTACTTTTTAATTTCTTGTGGTTTTTCTTATAGCAAATGAACTTCTAAAATAATTTAAAAATAGATGGCCTCTGTGTCCCAGGACTAGGTCAACACTTCTGCACACGTAAAAATATGACGATTCACCCATCATTCAATCTATTTACTAACTTACGTAAAGATCTAATCATTCAGTTTTATAAAAATCCCAGTAAAGTGATTAACAAATATGCCAATATTTATATGATCCACAGTTTTTCTCAGTATGCAGACTTTTAAACCCTTCCCTGGTTTTCCATTTGCAAGCGTTAGAATGGCTGCTTAATAGGCTGAAGAGGAGAAAGATGGCACAAAAATAGACTGACAGGATGCCCATTTAGTCGAGACGACAACACACAGGCCATGTACAGTGTCTCTGACATCAAACAATATGATCCTGACACGACCTGCATGAGATTCTAGAGCAGAGAGGAAGATGTTCAGCAAATAATGACTGAAATATCTCAAGTACAGTTTCTATTATTTTTAAATAACAATTACTTGAATGTCACAATGTGGCAGAAGGTCTCAGCTGTGAGCTTTACACATTCAGCCGCCTGACAGTCCAAGTTTGGCCATCTTTCCCAATTGGGACCTTAACAAGACCAGCACGCGGTCATAAAAATATGTCCAAAAGGGACTAGTCACCTCAGATAACTGACCCAACCCCAGGCTCCTCAACTCACTGCATAAATACACATGCTAGAAGGTAAAACAGATCCTGGATTGTCTCTAAAAGCAGTGATTGCTGAGCAGGGCAGAGACAGAGAGCAGGAGGAGCAAACATTCACACCCGAGGCAGAGTTTAAACTCACCGATCATGTCCGGAGGAAACGCGGAGAACGGCTCTGGAGCAGCGAGAGGAGGATGCATGAGGAAAAGCAGAGAGAGAGAGAAAGAGAGCAACATGTTAAAACATGCAGAGTATGTAGAATTAATGATGAAGCATGTTCACCATGCACTGATCTTTAAACAAAACCTAGAACTTGAAATTTACTTTTCCCACAATATTAAATATATCATTTAAATCTTCCCTAAAAATAATACAACATTATTACTGCAATGGTAACTTATTGTAATCTCAAGTCTGAATACATTTATTCATTTATTTACAAAAATAAAAACAATAAAAATAGATATTATGTAATTATTATTACTTTAAGTTATTTTAAAATAACGTAATCATAGCAATAATATTTATAAATAATAATAATTATTATAAAAATAATAATAATAATAAATTAGTAATATAACCTATGAGTAATAGTAATAAAAATATTAATAATAATTTTATTATTATTATTATTAGTAGTAGTAGTATTAGTAGTAGTAGTAGAGGTAGTAGTAGTAGTAGTAGTAGTAGTAGTAGTAGTATACAACAACAACAACAACAACATCAAAAATAATAATAATATCTATTTTTATTTGTTTTTTATTACTATTACTCATAGGTTATAATATTACTAACTTAATATTTATAATAATAATTACAATAATAATAATAGTTGTTGTTGTTGATGATGATGATGATGATGATAATAATAATAATTATAATAATAATAATAGTAATAATAATTATTATTATTACTCATAGGTGGTAATAGTATTACAAATTTAATAATATAAATAATAATAATAATAATAATAATAATAATAATAATGAAAATAATAATAATATTATTATTATTATTATTATTATTATTATTATTATTATTATTATTCATAATGATTATATTCAAATATTTACATTAATAAAAATCTAGTATTTTTCTTAAACAATAACAGTGAAATCCAATCTGTCTAAAATACTAACTAAAATTGCCTCTCTAATTATAAATCAAACAGATTCAAATGAAATCAAAGAATATGTGAAAGCATATACTGTATCGGAATCATCATTCTTCTTCACCAGATAAGAGTCCTGTTGTGCTGCTAATTATTTATCAAAAGCACAAATATCCCAAGACGTGTCTACTGTTCCTGAAAATAATCTAACAATGAAATTAACTTTTTGCTGTTCTTGATTTATGTTTGGAGGGCATAAAACATAACCAGGATGTATTCACAACAAGAAAATGACCTAGGCGTTTTTATCCAAACACTTAAACATTCAGATTCTCCATTTTTTGGCACATGATATTGTTTTCATGTGCTAAAGTTGTGGCAAGTGAGCACAGAAACAAGCTGAAGATTGCTTGGATTTTTAAGATGCAAATAATTATAAAAAATGAAAAAAAGTATCATGGGGTCCAGCGGCTCGAGGATCTCTTCTCGGCACAAATTGCATGCCCAACTGCACAGGTCGATAAGAAGCATCCCAGCCTGCTTTGGGAAGAATCACAGCCGGCGCATGGTGGAAGACAAGCTCAGGAGGCTCCATTTCTGGATCTCAAATAAACCACCAAGTCCCATAGCCAGAGACTGAGCCAAGCGGTGACGCCGAGAGCCAAAAATGACTAAATCAAGGGTTTCCAGTGTTGGAGTAAGAACCAGAGCACATGGTCACATTCTGCTGACTTTAACACAGGACGCTGCAAGCGGGGTTTTTTTTTTAGTGTAACGTAAAGACAATATCTCGAAAAGCAGTTTCATGCGCTTCTTTTAAAGTGCTTTGTCAATTTGTGTTCGTAGATGCCAATTTTAAAAAATTACTTACAAACATGTTTTTAAGGGTTGTTTTGTTAAAATTATTAAAAAATCCCCATTTCAGCAGCACAGAACTTCACAGTTTTACTTATATCTACAGCTGGATGCAAAATTATTAGCCTTTCTTTGAAATGTAAATTATTTTTTCCAAATATTTAAGAATAATATGTATATTGTATAAATTATATAATATGTATGTTTTAAATATAAAGTATTCAAATATTCTCACAGTATTTCCTATTACCGTTTTCTTTAGTTTGACTGGAATAAAAGCATTTTATATTATTATTATTATTATTATTGTTATTATTATATTGTTTTCTTATTGTTATTGTTAATATTATTATATTATAATTGTTTTTATTTTAATAATTATTATTATAATTATTATTATTATTATTGTTGTTGTTGTTAATATTATATTATTATTGTTTTTATTATTATTGTTATTATTATTATTATTATTATTACACTTTTTAAGTAACATTATTAGTTGTTGGTTTAATAATAAAAATAATGTAATATATTATAAATTAATACAAAACATATGTTATATATTATATATAAATGGTATTTATTTAATGTTTTTTAAGGTAAATATTGTAACCCCCTTAAGAATGTATTTTATTGGCTATAGAGCAAATTACAGTTGTCCAATGACAACCCTATTTAATAATAATACTAATAATAATACTAATACTACTACTACTACTACTAATAATAATAATAGTAATAATAATAATAATAATAATAATAATAATAATAATATAGTTTTATTGTTATTGTTAAGATTATTGTATTATTATTATTATTGTTGTTGTTTTTATTATTGTTTTTATAATAATAATAATTATTATTAATATTATGAATAATAATAAAAATTGATTTTATTAGGGTTATTATTATCATAAGCATCTTATCGATAATTAATTACACAGTTGGCATTAAGAAGGAGCAAAGAAACGTTATCTGACTAATCAAGCAGCTAAATGTGTCTGGTAAAATAAACCGCGACGACGTGAATGCGCCTGACTGTTCTGACTGGCTAAAATCGTCAGCACGTTCTAGACGTGCAATCTTCCGGCAATCTTCCTTCTGCTTTCACACAGCATTCCGGCAAATTACCGGTAATGTTACAACTTCTCTTTCCGGAAAATAGCCGGAACGAAATTACAAGTATTTTCAAAAAGGGCCTGTTCACACATACACACCTTACACAGGAAAGGTCTGTATGTGTGAAAGGCGCTATTATCTTAAAGTCTGTAAATAATCATTAATTAAAAAAGGCTTTCCCAGCATTTTCTTCCCCCAAAGTTTGTACATTTAAATGAGCTCATATTTCAATAAACAATGCCTCATTTACTTATTTAAGCACATCATCCTAAAAGCTCATAATACAAAACAAATGCTTGACCTTTTTTAGCAATCAATCGACCTGGAAGATGAGCTGAAATTATCAGTTAATGTTTCTTCACGATCAGTGTCTTGCGCTAACAACCAAAAAGAAAGCTCCTGTGCAAGATCTGTCTTTAGAAAAGCTCGGACTATCCACTAATTCCGTTAAAAATCAGTGTTTACAAACAGGGTGAGAAGAAGAGCGAAGGAAATAATGAAACATAGATTAGCATCGGGGCCCAGGGGCATTTGTGGCCTAGATTTGATTCTACATTTTTGCGTTTGATGGCAAACAACGAGGCACAGTAGTATTTTTATTTTTTCTCTCTCTCTCTCTCTGTGTGTGTGTGTGTGTCCTCCTTTCATGTTAATAAATTCTATTTTGAGAAGCTCTTTGAGATAGTGGCTGCGATGGCGAGTTTGATCACAGTAAATGGAGAGGTTTATGGAGAGAGTCTGGACGAATTATGGTGAAAACACTGGAAAAAAACGTGGCGTCTGTAATGAAGAGATAAAAGTGGCTTCACAGGGAAGCAGAGCGAGGTATTAAGGAAGAAACATCTGCTGGAGATAATGCAAAGGCTTTTTGGCTTAATTTGGTGATAATTCAGTAATTTGGTGATAAGCGCCAACTGAAGTGTAAAGCAGACTAAAGTAATGATGTAAGAAAGAGATGAAGTGTGCAGACTTACGAGTGCACTCTTCCAGCGGTGTGTTCCCACTCATGTGAATGTTATCAATCCATATGTGGCCTTTGGTACCCTCGAAAAATCCTTCGATTACCACCTGTGGGATGAAATATGTTAGCATAGAGAAAACAAACGAAAGAGTTCTTGCTGACTTCAATTTTTGAGTTGAATCAAATGAACTTTTCTAGTCATCTCAACTTACATTAATCAAACTGGCCAAACATGATTAACATAATTAAATATGTTAAATCAACATATGAAGTACTTGTTGTCTTCACTTTTTGTCAATGCATTTTTCACAGTGCAGGCTACTGAAAGACTGCATTAATAAAAGTGTACAAGTAAACGATGTCTAATCTGCTGTTTTACTTTGGTATTGCAGTGGTTTTACATTTAGTAGCCCAAATCTTATTTTTAGTTATTTAATTTATTTTTAAATATGTTTTGCTGTGTGTAATCTGCTGACCTTTAACTCATCAGGGGATCGAGGAATAATGGTACGTCCTTCTCTCCAGATGGGCTGCTGGTCTCCGCTGAGGGACCACAGCAGCGTCTTCTCCTGCTGTTTGTTCTGCAGCAGGACCCTCAGAGTGCCCTGATCCTCCAGCTGGTAGGAGAACATCAGGCACAGGGGTCCCGTGTCTGGATCCACACCCGGGCTGAAGAGGCGAGCTTTCTGGCCCTGCGTCTCTGGACTAGCCTCGATGTACAGGTAGTTTCCCAAACCTGAGACAAAACAAATGCAGTTTTGAGGAAACCATTTGGGTTAGTGAATGTAATGCTGGGCAAGACGTCCCGGTTTCCACATAATTTTTTTATAGTCTGGTTTGCACCCCCAGGGTAGCTTATTATGTTATTTTTCATTGAATTTTTTATTAATATATGATGCATTTTATTATTATTCAACCAACAGCTAATAATACAATATTTTTAAACGATACAGTTATTTAAAAATTGACATTTTGCATTATACAATTTATATATAAATATGATAATAACAACAACAACAACAACAATTATAATAATAATAATACACTTTAACATTTAAATTATTTAATTTGATTAAATAATTTAACCACACCACA